CTGCTACACCTGAAAAGATATACGTGCACGAACACGCGCACACACTTAAATAATGAAAACATAAATACTTACCCTCGACAATAATGTGCCCTGGTCTTCATAGATGTCTCAACGTTTCAGTGCACTACAAAGTGCAAGCACCGCTTAGAAGGAGACGTTCCCCACAGAACAAGCTGCTGCTTCACTAACACTTGGCTGAAGTCGCAACACCCAAAATATTTGGACCAGTCAAACCAAATGGTCTTCGTGCAGATATTTAGAGGTCTAATATCTCGCACAATTGAATCACACGCTGACTGAAGCAGTCAGACTAGTTTGAATGTGTAAACCGTGCGGCAGAGGCTATTGTTTAGCATTTAGCATGCTAACCGGCTGCCCCACTCGGCAGTTCAGCGTGATCACGGTTTCAAACAAATCTTCCGCACGCTCTGTGGAATACTGGTCCTTCACATGACGCGTTAATCGCCAAAGTGAAGAGAACCAGAGATAGAACTACGTACCGTCGTAATAATAGCAAACCATTTTCTCTGTGCCTTCACACAGCGCCATTTTGCAACCATCACCGGACCAGGAAGTATTACCACTTCCTTCCGCTTTTCGTTATCCAATCACAAGCGGCATCTACAATCCACCAGGTTACAGCGCATGCTCAGTAGTTTGTTAATCGGTAGATACACAGTCACTGCACACTATAGTCAGTGGAGCTGAAAGAAAATTCCTGCAACTCTTATAGTGAATTGTGCTGAAACTACTGCTCACATCAAATGTGTGCAAATGTTACATAAATGGCCAAGAAACGAAGCAGCAACACATTGTTTGTGTCTATCTGTGACAACACCAAGGACATTTTAGTTTTGGGAACTGACATCTTTTGTCTGCAGCTCCATTGCTTTTACTCTAAGGGCCGCTCTAAGGGTAGCAAGACTAAAGTCTTACTAAAAATAAAAAAATATAAAATACATACCATGTTGATAACTAGGCAAATGGTGGCCTTGAACCTGCAACCTTAAGCTCACATCCTTAACCACCAATCCACAACTAAACACCAAAAAGACTATAGTCTTATTATCATGAAAAAATGCAAAAAAAAACCCAAAACAAAACACTAAAAGTCCCAGAAAACGCCTTAGAATGGAAGTTTATTCCCGAAAAACATGCTGCCAATATTTAGCTCATTTAGGGCTGAATTTATAAATAAAACAACACTTCATGACTTATTTTCATCAAGCTTTTGTCACATATTTAAAACAACAAACCAACATTTTTGGTAAACTATTAATAACAATTATTTAATATTTCAAATGGACGTCTATCGAAACAGGGTGCATAACGTGTTGGTATAACATAAAGACCACTAGAACTGAAATACTGTGCAAATTAGTGCATTTTTATTCATTTTTTGGAAAGTTTTATTTTTGGAGACTTTTTCAAGAATTTATCAGTATAGTATTTTACTGTGATCAAAAGTTCGCGTAACAAATAAGTATATTTTTTTAGAATTATAACTACAATATGGACATAAATATGTATTTTGAGGTTCAGGATCTTATTAATATAGTAATTTATTGTGATCAAAAGTTGGCGTACCAAAAAAGTATACATTTTCTGAAATTTAACCTTGGAAAGGAAATAACTAGGCCTTTCAATGAAGATTTGTGTATTTTTATTAATTGTTGAGAAAGTTTTATTTTGTGAAAATTTTTTAAGGAATTTATCAATATAGTATCTAATCTATCCATATCATAAACCTTAACCCTAAACCTAATCCCAATTTCCTTATCCTAATCCCAACTATTATGTCACTAACCTTTATCTTTATTCCAAATACTATATCCCTATTGTGAACCCTAAACCTAATCTCAATCACTCTATCTCAAACCCTACCCCTAATCCCAACTACTGTATGCCTATCCCAAACTTGAACTCTAATCCCAACTGTTAAATCCCTAATCCTAATCCCAACTAATCTGTCTATCCCGAACCCTAATCCTATCCCGAACCCTAGTCCCAACTAACTCTAACTCTATCCCTGTCCCAAACCCTAACCCACTCAGTGGGATGAGAACTGTACGCCTTTCTGGTATAGTTTAAAAGCCTTTGCTATGGCCTGCTATACCAGGACAGGAAATGATGTAAATTGAATTATGTGAAAGAATTTCTAGGTCTGTGTGTATAAATAAATAAATACAAATTAAAGTAAAAACTGAAATGAATAGAGAACATATAGGAAGTTTCTTAATAGCATTTTCAATCAAATCCATCCTCTAGATAGTAGAATTCAGGTGCAACTACTAAAACACTAAACATTCCTGAAAAAATCTTCAAAAATGACTAAAAAGCACTCATTTGTCTCAAAATACTTAGCCATGTCCATTTTTGTGGTTAACATTCAGAAAAAAAATACACTTTTTTGGTACACCAATTTTTGATCACATTAAAATACTACACCAATAAGTTCCTGAGCAAATCTCAGAAAATAAAAGTTTCTCAAAAATGACTAAAAATACACTAATTTGCCTTGAAATTCTTAGCTATGTCCATTTTTGTGGTAAGAATTCAGAAAAGAAAAAAAACTTTTTTGGTACGCCATCTTTTGGTAACAGTTTAATAACATACTAATAATTTTCTGAAAAAGTTCCCAAAAACAAAAAGTTTCTCAAAAATAAATAACAATATTAAGAAAACACTTGAAGCACAGTATGTCTAAAAAAACAGTTGAATGGTCACAAAAACAAGAGCTAGTCATTGTAGCTGTCGCTCTCCATCGGGCTGCTTTAACAATACAAACGGCAGACACTGGCATATGGGCTGGAGGCAACTGCGTTCTAGCACCCTTGCCTGGGTTAAGGCGGGCCAGTGGGCAACAGGGAAGGCAGGCCCTATATAGTGCACCTTCAGAGTGACCAATTGAATGACTCCTTCCCGTGCTGCTTCAACGCAGGTCAGCTCCTAAATAGAAAGGGGTCTTTTGAGTCTGCGACGCCCTCTCGTGGATAATCAGATAACCACATTTCCAAAGCAGCTCAGGTGAGGGCTGGTAAATGTGTCACCTGCCTGCGTTGACGTCACGATATCTCCAGTAAGAGAAAGAGCGTTGGAGTAGCTTCTTGTTCTTCTGCGGTCCAGACTTTCAACTTTGGTGTTAAATGGAGAGGCCACAGACACGCTAGTAAACATTTTAATTTGAGTTTTACTTATCGCGCAAAGTCGCCTGTTCAGTGCCGCTGTTCGAGGAATAAAAACCACCATGTCCGTCTCCGCTGTGTTCGTGCTTGACCTGAAGGGGAAGGTAAGACCAACGTCAGCGGATTCAACTAGTCAAAGGACATATGAATATTTACTTTTAAATGTTTGCAGCGTTTACAGTTCAATTCAAATGTAGGAGTTTTATGGAAAGTTTCGCTTTAACTGTTAATCATTAATGACGCTACTCTTGTTAAAAATTAATGCAGAAGACCCGTTCATTGGCCTTTTCTTGACTTCCGGTACACCCGTACATGTCAGCGATATCGTGACGTCATTAAAGTGGGCACTAGCTCTAATGGCCTGTTTTGTACGTGTTTCTTTATTTAAGTATATTTTTTCTTATGGTTTTATGCCATAGCAAACATGTACGATTGTTTGTAAACTGAGATTATAGATTATATCACATCAGGCGAGTTTTATTTCTGTTCTGTCAAACAGTCTGACCATCAAATATTACAATACTTCAAAAAAGGAAAATTAATTAGGGATAAAAAATAATTTAGCCAATAGATTATGTACAAGAAAGATCAATATGACTTGTCTTACAAACTTTTTTTTAACCAAGATAAGACTGTATTCATCCCACACCAGGGAAATCCAGTAAACAGAAGCAACATCTCCTAGCAGAGGATGGTTTCGATCCATCGACCTCTGGGTTATGGGCCCAGCACGCTTCCGCTGCGCCACTCTGCTTCAACTACTACTAGATTTAAGAATGATTACTCTCACTATGGTGACTGTAGAGAAAATTGTGACTATAGGGACTCTACAGTGGTGACTGTAGGAAAAAAAATACAAATATTATGACATTTCACATAATCAACAAGGAAAAACAGGAAAAAAATAGCCAATCAGCATAGAGAACCATAATTGTCCCCTGGATATAATATATATGGACCGCAGTACACTAGTACCTAACTTGTCAGTCTGGGTGTGTCTGCGTCACCAAAGTATCACCTCAACAGGTGGAGACAATGTCTTTAATAGGACATCTGTCTTTGTCTAGTCTGGCTTTTTTAAAATGGAAACCCAGATATTTTATTTGCCCCTGTCAGTTCTAATTCATAAAATATTAAGTCTCCTGCTTGTTCTGTCTATGTATTGTAATTAAAAAAGTGTCCCTTCTCTACTTGAATTAAATGAAATACCTAAGAAATTCTCTATTCTACGTTTTCTTTACAAACATCGACTTGGCAGCACAGCATGTAGAAAACCTTGATCACAGAACTCACAAGAATGTCTGGACATATCACCATGTTATGAAACCAGTTTCTTTTTCCTGGCTGGTCATCAGGTGGTTTGTGAATAGTCTCTTTGTTATGAATGACTGTGACTTCATTACATTCAATAGGATATTATTACAATTTAAACTCTAGTCCAGCATCAGCTTCTTGACATAATCTTTTGGGTAGTGTTTTGGAATGAAAATATTTTTTTACTGTTATTTGCCATTTTCAGGTGTTGATTTGTCGAAACTACAAAGGTGATGTAGACATGGCGGAAATCGACCACTTCATGCCTTTACTCATGCAGCACGAAGAGGAGGGGCTTATCTGTCCTGTTGTCTCGCATGGCAACGTTCATTTCATGTGGATTAAGCACAGCAACCTGTTCTGTATCCTTGATGTTCAAGGGAAAGTATTCTCTTCTATGTCAATATATGCACTCATTATTATTTGAAGTGAAATAATAAGTTAATAGGTTAACAGGTAACCAAACATCTGTGAAACCTTTTCCTTGACTCTGTGGCTCAACAGTGGTGTCAACCACAAACAAAAACTCCAACGCTTCCCTCGTCTACTCCTTTCTCTATAAACTGGTGGAGGTGAGTGGCATTCATTTCAAATGTTTTTCTTTCCTGTTGAAAACCCAGTCAAAGATTGGAATTAAATATGGTTCTAATACACAACAAGTTTTACACCTGTTGTGCATAATGTGCAGGTATTCACAGAGTACTTCAAAGAGCTGGAGGAGGAGAGCATTCAGGATAATTTTGTTGTCGTTTATGAGCTGCTGGATGAACTGATGGACTTTGGGTTTCCTCAGACAACTGACAGCAAAATCCTGCAGGAGTAAGACTTGCCAATGCATAACTTCACACTCAAGAGTGTGATACTAATACGGATTATACTTACATGTGGTGTTCTTTTCTTGACGCTTTATTCTCTGCAGATACATCACTCAAGAAGGTGCGAAGCTGGAGGTGGCAAAGTCCAAGGTACCAACAACTGTCACCAATGCTGTCTCCTGGAGGTCAGAGGGCATCAAATACAAGAAGAACGAAGTCTTTATTGATGTCATTGAATCCATTAATGTGCTGGTAAGATGGATTACAGCAGTGTTTTACAACCTTGGGGTCGCCTGAAATAATTGAGGGAGAAAAAATATTAAATTATTGTCAACAACACCACATACCAGCTCTAAACAACCGTATTTTTTGACTGATGAATATAAATGGAGTTCAAATAAATTAAACATATCTGAGGTGAAACCTTAGTCCATCCATCCATCCATCCATTTTCATCCGGTTATCCGTTACCGGGTCGCGGGGGCAGTAGTCGCCACCCAAATCACACTGTACCGTACCAACACCCCCTAAACCTTCCTGCGGGTGGTGAGTCCACGGGAAGGTACCAACCGCCCTAACAGGGATTCAAAGTTGCCCAGGAGGTGAACCCTGGGGTTCTATACCAATGACAGAGACATTGCCTCTGGGCCAAAGCACCACTGAAACCTTAGTTATTACAATAATTTATGCCACTGAAATTATTGAATGTTTTCTGTTACAAAATATTTCCAGTATAACAGTATATCACTTTTATTTTCATTACTGTGTGTGTGTGTAGGTAAATGCTAATGGAAGTGTAATGAGCAGTGACATTGTTGGGAGCATCAAGCTGAAAACCATGCTGTCTGGGATGCCTGAACTCCGCCTGGGCCTCAATGATAGAGTGCTTTTTGCTCTCACTGGACGTACGTATACAGTTGATGATGTAATATTTTTATCTGCTATAACAATTTGACTTAACACAGAGAGGATGTGGACTGACTTACCCTGAGCCTCAGATAATGGATTAACATATATATGGGTCTTTTACATCAATGTAAAAGGACAGAATTTCCAAAAAGTACAACAATTTGACTTATGTAGCCCACACAATTTTACATGTTTAAACACATTTCCATTCTTATGGAAAGTTGCTGGTTGTGGAACTGATCTGTCTTTATCACCTGCATTTAAATGAATATCATTCATTTTTCTGCCCTGTGTTCAGGTGACAAGGGGAAGACAGTGGTGATGGAAGATGTTAAATTCCACCAGTGTGTCCGCCTTTCACGTTTTGAGAGTGATCGTACCATCTCCTTCATCCCTCCAGATGGGGAGTCTGAACTTATGTCTTACCGCATCAATACTCATGTTAGTGTATTTAAGTATTGGTCTTTTGTTAATATGTTATAGAACCTACAAAATATGTTCAATGTTATTTTAATCATAACAATTTTTCATAATAAAACACTACTCTGATCCCCAACAGGTGAAGCCCCTTATATGGATCGAATCAGTCATAGAGAAGTTCTCTCACAGTAGAGTGGAGATCATGGTGAAGGTAATGGGCAACTTTTATTCCACATTATAAATCTGTTGAAGAGTTGAAAAGAGAAAAATGTCATAAACATACAGTATATTTATGAAATTACTATAAAACTGTTAACTGTTACTTCATACTGTACTTGAGCTAACAGCAAGAAGAGCCTTCCTCACAATATTTTTATACAATGGTTTTATCTTAATTTTAGGCCAAGGGACAATTTAAAAAACAGTCTGTGGCAAATAATGTGGAAGTCAGGGTACCAGTTCCCAGTGATGCTGACTCACCCAAGTTCAAAACCAGCACTGGCAATGCCAAGTATGTGCCTGAGAAGAACCAGGTGGTGTGGACCATCAAGTCTTTCCCAGTAAGACATTCACAGTCCACACTTTACATGCCATATATTTCATGAATAGTGTCTTTAATATAAAACTTTGTTCGTCTTTGTTGCTAATATTAATACTAATGGACTTTTATCATCCAGGGAGGTAAAGAGTTCCTGATGAGAGCTCATTTTGGTCTGCCCAGTGTGGAAAATGAAGAGTTAGAGGGCAAACCTCCCATTACTGTCAAATTTGAAATCCCATACTTCACAGTGTCGGGAATACAGGTATGTTTTCATACAGGTTTAATCAAAAATTGGCTAGATAAACAGCCTTTTATAATGAATTAATTTTAAAAAATGATGTCTTTAACTAATGTGTGCAAAAATATATATAAAATATAAAATATTTTCAACACATTTCCTTTATGTTAATGAATGTGAATATCAAACTAACGATTATGATCTCAACGTGTTATATTGTATTCAACATTTTTGTACAGGTACGATACATGAAGATCATAGAAAAAAGTGGCTATCAGGCTTTGCCCTGGGTCCGCTACATTACTCAGAGTGGAGGTAAGTTATTATTGGTCAATCTCAAATTAAAAACAATTCTTTTTTACCTTTTACCTGCATGGATTACAGAACATTAAACATAAAGAAAAGACAAAAAAAAACTGCACATAAACATTAAAAGGAATTAATATTAATAGCTAATGATTACAGCTCAGCTTTATTGGTTATTATGGTTGTGAGATTTAAGTGAATGAAAAATTACATTTTGTTTTCCCTGTGGCCAACATCTATTCTTTCTTTTTTTTTCAGATTACCAACTGAGGACAAATACATAAAGTCAAGTCATTACTGAATTAACTTGTGGAACTTCCCAAGGATTACCACTTGAACTGGAGACTGAAAGGATGCCTTTATAATTTCACTAGCTGTTTATAATGTCAGTTGTTTTTTGAAGTCCATGTGCAACTCTGTTATTTTGTTTCTATTGTGATGCCGCCTTAATTATTTAAACACTCAAATTAATGTATTGTATCATCTGAACTTTAAACACTATATTGGTGAAGTCTGTGGTTATTTTATACCAACGACTTATGCATTCATTATCACTGAATTCCGCCTAAAATGAAGACATTGAACCCGCCTTTTTACATTTGCTACTGCAGAAATTTAGCTGGAACGCTGAGAAATGTGAATGAACTACGACTGAGACATTAGCGTATACGAATCGCCCGCTTTCTCCGCTGCTAACTCTGATTGGTCGGCTGCCACTGTTGCCACAGCGATAGTGTAGTAACCCAGTTATAGTTCCGCCTCCTTCTCCATTTATGGAAATGCTCCGCCCACACTGTAAACTGTGATTGGTCAATGTGTCTCCATTCCAATGTTTGTAAATTGTGCTGCAGTGCGGATCGCAACGCGCACTATTATTTTAAATGTTAATAAACATTGCGTATATAATTTGAATTTGAAAATTACTGGTTTTGGAAAAAGCGGGACAAGAATTTCCACTACGCTGTTGGATCATCAGAAGCCAAATAAGGTATCTGTTAAACTGATATGGTATGGTAAAATGATGCTGGCTGTCGTTTAGCTTTGGTGCTAACGGCTTATATTTCCGTTAACTACGCGAGTTAAAACCCAGACATCTTCGATATAGATTTTGTTTAAACGCAGTAAGCGTAACCACGAAAGGTGTAACATTACCCTGACACTATCTGCTAACATGGCGTCTACGGGGAGCTGCCGCTAAAGTTAGCCAATGGCTATAAAAGCTACTAGTAGACATACAAGTTTACCTTGTTGAATAAAGTCCTCGGCGGTTTAATTCTGCTGCTGCTGCAATGTTTCGCTGCTTGTAGTTAAACACCCTCTCCTGCTGCCCAGGCATCGGGACAGAATATAATGGTCTTTATTGAGATGGACGCCGGTAGTGCTTTGACGACGGCTGCAGCCAAAGGTAACACGACTGAGGTGCAGAAAATACTGGAAGAGAGAAGAATACATCCTAACGCTCTTAACCAATTTGGAAGAACCGCACTCCAGGTGAGGAGCAATCTCCTTATGACACAACATAATTACAATTTTAAATGAGAATGAAATAACAGACTACTATCACCAATAGCATAGTGGAATGACAGCAAAGAAACGAAGATCGAGTAAGGTATTTCTGTTTTTGAAAAATAAACAAAATGTAATCCCTTCCTCAGTGAAACACTTTACAGCATCTTTGTGTAGTTCAGAGTGTATTATTGGATTTTTGACAGAAATACCCTTTAAGTCAGTATATAAATAGGACAACTAATGTCTGGTATATATTAACCAACTGTGAATTTTGCAGAGATATTTCTCTGCCCTAAGATTAGTAAGTGGTATGTTGGTAGTCGAGACAAAAAAAGCTTCGGTTTTTTATTGCCTTCCAACATTCAAAAAACCATATCCAAGGTGATGTGTATAGTTTAGGGTTATTAATCAGACATAATAATTGTCTATGTTACAGCTCAGATGTGCATGTTGTTCTCTTATTGACTGTACTTTTAGTTCAACACAGGCGCTGTGAGTTGTCTGTAACAAAAAAATAGTACAAAAAATGACAACCTAGCCTGAGTCAATGAAGCCTGACAGTCGATACATAACGGCTGCTGAAGATCACAGAACAACTGTAACTTCAATATTATTAAATATATTAAAATAAAAAATGAAAATTAAATATATATTCAAGTTATAATATTCATGATTGAATATTAATTCAACCTTGAATATTAATTCAAGTTATACATAACAAAGAAAAGCCTAGCAACAGGTTTTGATCTAACCTTTTAAGAACACTGACATAAGTGCTTCTGTTGTTCTGTAACATTCAGTGTCTGAAATATGAAACACTTATCGAAATGTTTCTAAATAGTCCAGTTTAACTTATATCAACCAAATTAAAACTATCGCCTGACCCAGAAAAAAACAGTTACTTCTGTGTCTGGGTCTTGAATGTAACATTTGATCAGTGAGGTGATGACAGTGAAATGTTTCATACTTATTCATATTGTCTCATTATAAATGACCAGACTATGCAGGCTGTTCACTCTGAAGTTAAGTTAGTCTTGCATTCAGGCTGTAGGTTTGGCTGTAAACTGATTACGACAAACAGAAGCAGCTGATCCTCATGACTGAACGGCTGGATCCAGACACTGGGTGTTTGCTTTGATAATTGACTTTACTGATCAGTCAGTAATCTGATTTTTTTTGGTGAAGAATTCAATGTTATTTTTGTAGTTTTCCACTGATTTCTATTTCTCTGTGTGTTCTCATTCACCAGTGCTTAAATATAAGCTGAGGTTAGTAGAGTCCAATAAACTAGGTTGAACTGCTATTTTGAAATCCTTTGACTTTATTGAGTTTTAAATAGAACCTTGTGTTTTTGAGTGTGAGAAAGTGAGCAATAGATGACAGCCACTAACTGGTTTGAAAGTCTGAAGAACTCTATTATCAAAAGTCTGTAGAAGTTCATTCCATGTGGAGTCGTCTGAAATGTCCAGTAGATGTTTAAAAAATAGATTGATAAAAATATGATTGTTTTTAAAATTATGATTACAAACACTACACACATTCAGAAATATAAATCACATTCAAATAAAATGCAGCATATAAAAATATCAGAGCTGACAAGTCTTGATTGACAGCTGCGACTATGTGATTGAAAAAAAAATATGTTCAGAAAAATATAAACTGATGTTGAGTAAGAAGTAACCATTTTTACAGATCTTAATACAATGGTAGTGTTTGGAATCACACTCAAGCTATAACATGTCTTTATCTTATGTTTATTTTCCAGGTGATGATGATGGGAAACTCACAAATTGCCAGATTGTTGTTAGAAAAAGGAGCCCAGCCCAACATCCAGGACAGACATGGAATAGCACCAGTTCACGATGCGGCTCGGACAGGCTTTCTGGACACTGTGGGGGTTCTGGTAGAGTATGGTGCTTCGGTAAACATTCCTGACCAGAGTGGAGCCTTGCCTATTCACATTGCCATAAGGGAGGGTCATCGGGATGTAGTGGAGTTCTTGGCACCGCGGTCTGACCTGAAGCATGCTAACACTAGTGGGCAGACAGCAATAGATGTGGCCCGAGCTTGCCGTGTACCCGATATGATTGACTTGCTTTATGCTCACATTCATTGTTAGTTACAAATCCTGGTGCCTTCTGGGTAACCATAACATGTTTTGGCTTCAAACCTGGTGACTTGAATTCCTAGCTGTGTAAAAGATACTTTTTCTTTTTGGTATTAGTTCAGCATTAGCATGCGACACAGGACATATTGTCTTGGCAGCTTATTTTCTGTGGTTGGTTGTCTACACACAGTAGACACCTCTTTTGCACAGTGCAGTTTCGGCACCTTATGTCTGTTTTCCCTGTTGATAGGGAGTGCACATCTGTAGATATTTCCCCACATTGTTTTCATATTTTTGCATTATTTACATTGTCTGTGAATTGTAACAGTTAATAAGAGTTATGCATTTTCTTTTTTAAATATTACAAACTTGATATGGTGCATCCTGATTGCTCGGCATAGTTCTTCATCTGAACTAGATGTACTTAGAATTTACCGTTATTTATTGTTGGAATAGAATTTAACATTTCTGTGACTCTTGTTAACAGTGACATGACGTATTTAGTAAAGTTATTTATATAAATAGTTTTTAAAGAAAAGTTAGTCTTCACTTTACTATTTGAAGATCGAAAGCACAAAATAAATAAAGTCTTGAACTTGACATTGTGGAGTCAAAGTTTGCATTGGTACAGTTTGCTGTATTTACAATTTTTCAACACACCTGACATTTGCTACGTCTTAATGGCTAGTCCTGGTTCATTAACATTTTTGTCAATTGTAGACCAAATTTTTGCAATTCTGGCAAACTTAAGCAATTTATTCATCTGTATTATTTGGCGAATATTAGTTTCTGTATTATTTCATTATTGACATTTCTGGTATCTTTAAACATGCGGTGTGAGGCTCTGTTATTCTTAAGCTCACAACCATTTGCGTTACTTGATCAATACGGCCACACTTTTAAGAACCAAGTGAGTAAAAGCCGTCCGTCAGTCAAATTTAATGATTTTTTTTTCAATTACATTGATTATAAAGTTTTTGCAGGCCCTTATTAAATTCTAAATAAAAATGTTGAAATGCAGTGCAGATGTTTAAAAATGATTACTTATTACTAAAAATTAAAATTATTACCCTCGGTTATTATTAATTAATAATAATAATATTAATACCAGCAGAACCTCCAGTTCTGGTCAACTATCTTAGCCAGACTAGCTTTTGTTTAAAAAATTAAAAAAATAAAAATTTGAATAAAACCATTGAAGTTGATGTGTACAATTTATATAATAACAATAATTTTGTGTGATGTGTTTTAATCAAAGGTCTTCGTTCAAAAAGGAATTTAATTTCTATGTATTAGCACACTGTGTTTTGAAGGTGTACAGCTCCACAGAAGTACAAAGCTCCGCCCCAATTGTCAACACTGTCAGTTCTTTCTGCTGGTTCTGCTGTGTCTGACCCAAAGCATTTTTCTGTCCAGCGACAATCGTCACTCTCAAGTATAACTTGTTCTATCTGGAAATGTTTGACATGAGAGCTGGTATCAACCGTATTTGAGACCATTTTAACGGAATCAGTACGTATTTCCCCACAGGGAAGGGACAGTGCTCTTGTATATTACAGTCAGAATTAAATTGTTGTAGAAGTGTCGCATTAGGTTGTACATTTGTCACATTGATGCTGGGTCAGTTTAAAATAACTTTCGAATGTCCAAACCAATGTATTGCATTGCCTTGGTGAGCCAACTTCATTTTTATATTCTGTCCATGTCTGTGTAATCTTTAATAAGTTCACCCTAGCTTTAGTCAATGTTTTGTGTAAATGTCGGGATCACATGTTTAGGTTATTTAACTATTGTGTGTCTGTATTGTTTTGGTTTTTTTAAGTGTGTGCTTTTGACTCTTTCCTAATTGTCAGATGGACAAAAGCTTCTGCTGTAAGTGTTTTTTTCCTTTTAATGTAGAAATCATTATTTACCAATGATTGGTTACAGCAATAAGAGTCTGTGTTTGCGTTTTTCATACATTTATGTGGTGTCAAAGTCATTTAATATCCAATGTATATTTCTACCCATGCATTACACTGATATTTATTGATTAATTTATTTACCTCAATAACTAAAACAAGGTTTAGAGTAAAGTTTTATATAAATATATATATGTGACAAAATAAACAGTTGTAATGTCTGCTGTGTGTTCTGTAGTATTTCATCTTTTTAATAGTTCAAATTGTTTATGTGTGAGAAACATACCCTGCCATCCTCTGTCGAAGGTGAAGCCTCGGGAAAGGCTGGATGTTTTCCACTGGTCCCTGCAGTAAGTTTGATCAAGGAAACTGAGGGGACTAAACACTGCTTATAATGTTAGTCTTACACATTATGATCAAAAATGATTTGCAAAAGTAAATAAGATATTCTTTCCTCCTTTAAAAATATTAATGAGATGATGTGGTGTAATTAAATGATTTTCACTGTAAGTCGGAACTGTTTTGTATTTTGTGTTTACTGTAGCTTGGTTGTTAATTGACTGACTCAAATTCTAAGTCGCTTTAGATAAAAGTGTCTGCTAAATGTAATGTAATGTAATACATCAGTACCTTTGTCACTAACATACGCTAACACAGTGATAACATCATAATCTAGGACATAAAAAAAACATCAGAAGAGTCTGACTTACGCCTGGGAGCCATAATGAAGGGCAAACTGTTCCCTGAAAAAAAAGAAAAACATTTAAGAGAATGAATGTAGCACAGTCCAATGTAAGGCATACAACCAGTGTCTGTAGAGCGCCAGGAAGATATATCTGTATGCTTCGATTGCCAACTAGTTCCCGTACAAATTTCTTTTTCAATGCTGTACGTCAGAATATTGGAACAGGACTTAATACATTTATGGGAGAAGGCGACGTGATAGTGTTGTAGGTCGAGGTCAAAGACGATGCATTTTTAAGCAATTGCTCTTATTTGCCGTACAAATTACAAAAAACATGTACCATATATATAACTTTTTTTTACTTTTTACAACTATACATGGTTGCTCGTGTGATCTGCATTAATACAGACACTTCCACCCTGCTCAGTAGCATATAAAGAACAGATTTTTTTTTTCCAAATTTACCATTTATTAACCACACTGTATTGATCACATTCTGGACAGTTCAGCTGTCAATCACAGAACAGGACTGCATACAGAGACAGCCGATCACACTGACAATCAGACCTAGAGTCAATGAAGCATGAACAACCAGAGTCCTCCAAGGAAACCCTGGGGAGAACAGGCAACATCCATGTAGAAACACCATCAGTTGCTGTTGGAGACTGCACCAGTGATCTTGTAAGTCATTTTGAAATGATGCCCAAACCAGAGAAGAAGACAAAAATACTTCAGCTGTGCTTCATGTTTCCTCGTGAGTACAGTGTTTCACCTGAGCGATCAATCAAGGGCATTTATACATAACTGGACAGTGGAATGTAGAAAAACAAAGTATGACCTTGTAAAGGTCAAAGACAGAGACCCAAAAATGAATGAGGCCTTGTGTTTGTAGGGATAGTAGATAACAGGGTTAGAGAAAGCGCCAGATGAACAGAATACAATGCTATGAACAGGAACAAGTATTAAGAGATGATCAAGTGGAAAATACCCCAGTGGAATCAGACTGGACTGGACAGTGTAACAACTGTTCCAAATCAGCCTTGATAAAATGATTTGACCCCGGATGAAGGGACCAGTCGAAAGTACTAATAGTAGTAATTATAATAGCAGAGAATAAGCCACACTGTGTCTCTATTGCAGTGTTCCTTTTACAAAACTGACCAACTTGTAGGTATTAAATGGTGTTTTGCTTCGTACTTTTAACACCATATTTTACTGACCTAGACCCCAAACTGATTTGATCCCAGCCACTAGGTAGAGCTGCCTTACTGCTACACTAGGTTAAGAATTTGAATGTGTTGTAGCGTGTGTCTGAAACCTCTTTGCACTTGAAAAAAAAAAACACCCTGCCCTAAAGGATCACAACACCAAAAAGTGTTTCTATATATATAAGGATTATGGAGACACTTAGTATCTCTAATCCTAGTTAGGTAGCACAGGGTGGTTATGATGATGATTAATAGAAATGAAGTCAACTCAGTGGGTCAGGGTTCAGATTCAGCTGGCCCTTACACACTCCACACAAGTTCTTGTTCACCTTTATATTTCCTAAAAATGTCCAGGATCAAGGGTTAAATTAAAAGCAAAGGCTGGTGTGACTTTAGTTTGACAGTGTAGGCGGCTCACAGTGTGTACAGACATTACTGCAGTATTTCCAAAACCTGACTGACAGGAACTGTTTTTTGTGTACATGCAAGTCAGCGCATGACTTTACTGCTTCCAGGCAGAGCAACAGATATGGGCGAGACAAGGGCAGAGAGTGTGAAGGCACTTTAACAAAACATTCTTCTTTGTCCACCTCAGTCTGTCCATAAACTGGTCAATGTCAAGAGTTTTTTAACTGCGCTATTTGGAAATAACTGAAGAGGAAGTAAAAAACCAAATAGGGAACTCTAGGATACTTCATATTTCAAAGTAGGAGTTCCGAAACTCTCCCACACCAAGGCCTCAATTTGTGCTAGCTAGCTACACACTAACTTGAGGAGCAGAGCAGCTTAATGACAGACGCCAACCGTCGTTAAGTCTCTCTTGCGTTGATTTTAAAAGTAATTATTTTTTGCATTACATGTTTATTACACCAGTACCGTTTTATTAGTTATCCTCTAGTTTATTCAGCCTCGTAAGTTTCTTCTACTACCAACTATTTAAACAAATGAAAGAGCAAATATTATTCTGCTTCTGCAAAACATTTCATTTCAAAACACTTCTCTCCTCTCATCTTGGCCACCACATTGTGGGATACACTTTGCCATTCTGAATAAACCTGTTCAACAGGGTACAGCAAAATTCATAACATTCCCTATTGAACAAACACACTATATTTGTAAAAAATACCATATAAAATGTATTCACAGCATAGTAAAAATGTATTCATAAATACATAAGAAAATGTAAAGAGTTTGTTTTCCTTGATTTGAAATCTTACTTTGGAAACATTCATCAATTTCCGTCTGTCCATTTGTGCAGCGACCACAAGGCTGCACTGGTGAAAGAGAAGTCTTTCAGCTCTTATTCAGCTTGGTGCGTATTTCTGATGGCAGCAGATCTAACACGTTGTCTTCTACGACCAGTCCACTGAGGGTCAGTAATGGACAGTCCGCTATTTCCACTGGTAAAGACTCCAGTCTGTTTCCTTTGAGCTCCAGACGGACTAACTGGGCCAGGTTTGCTATCCTGGGACTCACATTCGGCAGGCTGTTGTTTCCAAGTGCCAAAGTCTTTAGTTTTTTGCATGAGAACAGCTCATCTGGTAACATCTCCAAAGAGTTGAAGGCAGCAGAGAAGAACTGCAGGCCCTGTGGGATCCCCACCTCAGGAGGGAGAGCGGTAAGCTGGTTATGGGAGACGTCAACGTGTCTGAGTTTGGTGCAATAAAAGAGACGTGAAGGCAGTTTCCTCAGCTTGTTCCAGCTGATATCCAGTACCTCTAGAGAATGCAACTTGCTGATGTGGTCTGGAATGTAAGTAATCTTGTTGTGCCACAGACGGAGCGTGGTCAAACGACGACAATGCTGTAAGCTCAGTATTTCCTCCACAGTGGTCAGTTTGTTTCCCTTCAGGTCCAACTCTTGGAGATTGTTCAGGCTGAACACAGCACTTGGGATTCGCTCCAGTTCACAGCCCACCAACTCCAGCGAGACCAGGTTGGATAATTTCTTCAGGGTGCTGAATGCCTGGAGCCTCATACCTTCGTTGAAGATACACAACCTCTGCAGCTGATAGGCTACATCTCCTATACTGGCTGGGATCTTTGAAAGGTTGGACTGGAGTGTGAGAACTCTCAAAGCTTGAAGGTCTCGCAGGGATTCAAGAGTGGCACCTCTGGAAACTTCGTTCAAAGGTACATCGAGATGTAACTCTTCCAAACTGTGCAAAGTGTATACCCACACAGGTACCTCTTCTAAATTTTCAAAAGCAAGACGGAGGACTTTTAAATGTTCCTTAAGGTGATTGAGGGCAGGCAGTTGGACTTTGGCGTTACAGTAGACCAGTGATAATTCCTTTAGCGAGTCTAACTTGGCCACACAACTTGGTATGGTGACATTCTTTACTTGCTCCAGTTTAAGTGACTCCACTTCAGTAAGTTCAAAGACAGTGTCGGGAAGTCCCGGTAACATTAGCAGGTGCAGTTCCATCAGATTACTGGTGTTCTTGGCAAGACGGGTGCGCAATTTCTTTGCCGTCCACTCGTGGTTCAGATTGAGCTGATGGAGACGACTCTCGCTGACCTCAGAGAGAAAGACTGCAAATCTTTTGGAGTAAAGAGCATCGTATTGGTCCACCAGGTGCAAAAGGAAAGCAAAATCATTCTTTACGTCTGGTATGTCGTTAATACCCGTCTCTAGTCTGACCTGCTCAAATGAATACACCTTGAGGGGCCTGTGGAAAAGCCAGTAAAGTGAGTAAATGCACAGAAGTCCATAGACTCCTACAAAGCAGACATAGCAATAGGCGAGCTTGGAGAACAGATGGGCTTTGTTGTGGTTACAGCAATAGATATCAAAACCAGTCAGCTCAGGAGGAACCAAACAGCGGACAACAATCTCCACGTTTGGAACAAGAACTGCAGTATAGACAATGATTAAGAGGAACTTGAAGACTTTCAGTGAGGTTTGTAGGACATACATGATATTCAATAGGTCTCCCTCCTCTACGTGAGTTCGTAACTTCTTCACCTTTTCAAAGAGAGCTTTAGCCTGCTCTCCCTCCTTCTTATCTAAGACAGTGAGGGACGACTGGGACTCTTGGGTTTTCTTTTCTGGATTAGACTTGACAGAGGAGGAGCGAAGAAGCCCTGCGGTCTCCTCCTCATCGAACCTCCGCTCTGTAGTTTCCTTGGAGATTGTATTTTTTCTCCAAATAACAAGTTTCTCCTCCCCTCTTTCTTCAGACACCTCACTCAGGGCCCTCGTGGTCCAAGGGGAATCAAAACACTTCCCGAGGATGTTCACGAAGAGGTCAATTTTTGAAGATGTCCCAGGGAACTTGAACCAGAAACTGCTCGCTACCATGAAGACCAAAGTGTGGATCACAACAAGGTACGGGAAGTACTTTGCATACCAGTGGACAAACCTCTCATAGCAGTAGCAGTTGACAAAGACATATTGGTGGATATCAAGATTGTTCTTACGGCCAGTTACTTCCCTGATGATGGGACTCTCAGGTTTGACCAACGTGTGTTTCTGCGTCATATTCTCTTTGTAGGTCCGGATGTGACTGCAGTCGATTGCCTCCGGCGTTGAGCTTGTGAAGTGACTAGGTAGACAAGCAATCCTGTCCTGGGTGAGCTGTAGAGAACATCATTACAAAGTCATTAATAGAGGTACCGGTATTTCTGGAATGCCTCCCTTTTTTGTCAGTTTTAAAGGGTCTGCATCATTTACGAATACAAGACTTAAATTGGTCAGTTGTGATCCCAGATCAAATCATTACAAATGTAAGAGAACCTTTTGCAGTTTTTAGCTTTTGTACTTCTACTGGCTATCCTGACAGCACAACAAAGCCATAAACAAGAGAGAATTCCGACCTCTGTAGTTGTCTACCACAGATTTGAGCACATCACTACTTGGGCTTATGTACATAATATTTCTTGTATTAGTGACACCTACAGTGTGTATCAGGTATCATAAAGAAGTGTGTTCTGCTCTGTGCCATGGGTAAAGTGTTAGAGTGAGAGGAAATATGAATGTTTTGGTTTTTTACCACATTTTATTTCTGTTCAAATAATTCCACCCCAGTGGAAAAAATTGTGATAAACCGGATGATAAACAGATGCCCCTCTGGATGATTACTGAAATCTTCTTTCTAGTTTTAAAGTATACTAAGTGGGGAACACAAGGTGAAGTTTAAAATCTCTGAAATCTAATGATTATACTTATATTATATGCATTGTACTGCATGTAGTCAGGGGTCTGAGTGTCTAGTAAGTGGGCCAAGTGAGTAGGGTGGATCAATTTCACAGTCCAGTGGTTTTTTGGAGCTCATAGGTCAAACATTGTAGGAGCGGCTGTGGCATATGACACAGAGAAGAGTCTTAGGGAGTAAATTATTCTCCTAATTATATTTTAAGTCAAATTAGAGTCACATGATCAGCACTAGGGTTGAAATATAACAGGTCGGTAACAGGTTATTGGGTTTGGTTCACGATAGGGTGAATAGACTCACCTGGAGAGTGCAGCCAAAGACTCCAATCATTAGCATAGCCACACAAAGGTACTCGGAGAAAACATCCCACCACGGTTTCAGAACTCTCAGCTTGGAGTTCTGCTCTATGCCCAGGTTTTTGAGTTCACCCACTGGGATCATCCTTTCTGCTGCTGACACTGATGAAACAAATGAGTCACTGTGAGCACACAGTACTGAACAGACGTTCTACTGTACACAGTACAAACTTTGAAGAACTGTTTTTAAATTCACATGACATAAACATGGACCACTTATATACCATTATAGGCTATATTGGCTGCAACTCATTGTATACTAAAACTTCTGAATACATTTCTCCCCAAAAAGTCACTGGTCATTTAGTCCATCAATTGGCCTATTGATGTTACACCTGCATGGGTTGGTCAATAGTTTAACTGTAGAAACCAGTTTGGCAATACGGCAACTTACCCTGCTGACAATAGCCATTGTTACATGTGTAGACTCTGGTCTAATCAGTCATTATAATCATGCAGGCTGAACAGGAGTCTCTAATAAAGTGGCCAGTAAGTATACTGTATGTAGGTATTTACCTGACCTCGAAATAATTGCAGCCATAATGGTCTATTTTGGCAGACACCAAAGACAGCTACCACACGAGCTCACAGTACATGTGAGCATGTGACGTGATCATATTACAAGTGTTAGGATTTAGCCACTTTTTCGGCATTACACGTATTTTACTAAAACTGTATGTTGTAGTACAGTAAAGTAAACAGGATCATGCATTTTATTGGACGATGATTAATTCACAAATATCCGCTCCTGGGAGGATGGACAGTGTTTTCAACAATCATCGTGTGACACAGTCCCTGTCCCTGTCTGCCCAGCATATACATAGATGATGAATTAGTCCGTTCACTGGCTGGAAGTAGTTTCAGAGTCGACTAACTAGTTTGACTACAATGCCACTCCCATTCAGGAAAGAACCTGACTCGTTTTACATCTTTTGTACAAATATATAATAAAAAGAAACGTTTCAGTCATTCATTTAGCACTTGTACTAGCACTGTGTGTCAGTGAGTGCGTGTGTTTTTACTGGACTCATTGCGTCTAACCAACAAGAGTACGCCGCGAAATAATAACTCCCACAAAACTCAGTCCTTCAACCATTAACTTGTTTGTAATTAAATATTCTTCAGTTTGTCTCTAAAGTACCGGCAAACACAGAGAAAACATGGTAAAAAAATAGTGGAAACATCTAGTTCTAAATTAACCAGGTAAAGTTAACCTACCCACGACCGCAGGGGAACCACAGGTGTCCGGGAAGAATCAGGATCAGGACTCTGTTTTTCATATTAGAAGACGAGCTCACCGGTGTTAAGCTATCACTAAACAAGGGCAGATCCGGCAAGGTCTTTCAAAATAAGGTAATTCTCAAACAAAAACAAGCAGTTTCCGGTTGATTGGTCCTACCTGATAGCCAGACGGTTACTGTGGATGGGTGAAAGATTAGAAGAACATTTGACACATACGACATCATACATAAACGTTGTGATCATAATTGTAAAAAAAAAACAGTACAATGTTGTCATTATGAGTAAGGAAAAAGGCAAAGATATTTCAGTCAACTAATATACAAATAGTGCTAAAAACAAGGTATTTAAAATGATAAAGATGATTTACTTATCATGAGGAGTAAATGTTGAGGCACAGTGTTGTCAGGTAAGAATGTGTGCAACATAACACAACATTTCTTAATATAATTTTGCACATTTAAAGGCAAAAGTATTCCCTAAGAACCCGTCCCATCAAGTGTTTTTAATAAGCATTAGTCTCAGAGTGGCTGAATGCCTGAAAAGTCTACTCCTGTATGGTCAGAACAGAGAAGCTGAGGAAGAGCTACTTCCCTCAGGCCATAAAGACTCTGAACTCTACACCCACCACATAACACCCCACCCTACACACACATGCACGCACGCATTGCCTGTTAATGTCATGTGACAAATAGAGATTATTGATTCCCATTCCAAATGCAGGAAAAGTTTTGCTCACAATGGTACAGGGAGTGTTTGAGTCTCCTGGGAGGTTGGTATCACATGAGGGACACGCCTGGTTGCGTCTGTGTTGTTTGGTGGGAGAAAGTTGAGTTTCTCTTACAACAACGACTCTCTCTCCAGGTATTCAGCCACTCTGAGGCCCAAAAACAGCATTTTACAGCAGTCGTTTAAAACTGAGGAAGCCTCTTGGTGAGAGCTGAACCTTCTTCAGAAACCAACACAGTCCAGTTGTCCTCCACGTAACTGCCTCAGAGAAGATAACCTGTATGACTGAGAACCTACATAAGACAATCTATGACCATTTATTTAACATGATACTGGTACTTGCAGAACTGTAGTAATACTGCATAGCCATGTGTTTGAATTGACTGGAATTCTCATCTTATCTGTTTTCTAATTAAAACCTAATTTAGTAAATGGTGCATGAAATCCAGTTTAAACACTTGGGTAAAAGTAAAGCAAATGAAGTCTATTGAGTATCTTGTGCTGCTCAGGATTATTTTCTGGCCTAGTTCTTCTGTGGGTGCTAGTTAATGTTAATCATGTTGTTAACTTAGTAATGGTGATTCCCATTACCAGACTATATACTGTATATGTAACTGCTGCTAGAGGGTCGAGATTGCAGAGGCATCTCCGTACCGCTACTTATCATACGATTTGAGGATGTTAGCATTAGCATTTTCCTAGCATACCTGATGGCTTCGGTTCAGGAAGGTCCTGGAACAATGTAAGCAAGTCTGAACATTCCGTTAGGTCGTTACTGTAGCAGTGAGTCTCTTCTTGGCTGAAATAAAACAGACCAGTTTAACAGTATTTAGTTCACTACTAAAGAGCTTCGAACAGTTATTGAGGAGTTCATGAAAGACTTCACTTCTGGTCATCGTGTTAGAAAACGAACAAAAAAATTAATTAAGACCTAGATTTTCTGTAAGATTTAACTCTGCTGTGAATATATATATTGTCTTTTATCACACTAGATTTCTTTTCCGAGCAGCGTGGCCGGCTGAAGATACCGCTGACCACTGAACACTTTGGTCTGGTCTCCTCTGGACCTCTTCTCATCATGTCTCACTCCAATTCTGTGGAATGGGAGTTAAAATGTTCAGGACCAAAAGAGCTAATAGTTTGGAACTTAGCATTTAGATTTTTGAAAAATACCATACTTTTAACATGAAATGTAAACCGTCTTACCTTCTAATTATGCTTCTTACAAATAGCATGTTACAGAATATACACATTTTTTGTTTGAGAATAGATTTGCCTTAAACTACAGGTACAAAGGTAATAAAGAGAAAAAACCCACACATTTCTTACATCACTGTGTGGTGTTATCAGACAAGCAACTGCATGAGAACTTCTCTAATCAGTATGGAGTAAATTAACTGGTTATTATAAGTTAATTTGATCAAGTTAATTGTAACAATTTGTCTAGGTTTGGAGAACTTTAGCTCGCCCTAGTGGTCAGGTTCTGAAGTGCAGCACTTTTAAAAAACCACCACCTGAGAAAACACTGATCTCTCTGAGTACCACCATGATGACCAACATTAGAATACAGCAGCAGAGGCCTTCACTGTTAGCTTCCACCACAGGAGAGATGTTTAGAAATGTTTATGTTTAAATGTTGTATTAATTGTGCGTGGTATGTTTCAGAGTTATTCAATTGAAAATGTAAATGTGAAAATATGAATTTTTCCCACGTACCACTAGAGAGCGGTCGCATACTACAGTTTGAGAACCACTGATCTAAATGATCAGACCTAACATGTGACGTATACTGCCAGTACATCAAACATATTCACTGTACAATGTGTAATGTAAAAAAAAATTCTAAAAAAAGTAGACATAAAATATTTTAATTTTCATTCCAGCTACTGACAAACAAAAAAAAACCCCTTTTTAAAAATAACCTTTTTACAAAGACCCTAAATTAGCATGAACAGGCATTCCTCATCAGTTACAACACAAGCCAGCTGTTCAAAAACACCCCAGTCCAATTAGATACAAAGCCAATGTCACATTGGAGAAACAAGAAAAACAAAATAATTTGAAAAAATAAATAGAAAAGTGAGCTCCAATTCTGTACAAGATGTCTTATAATATCAATGTACAAAATACTACTTATAAACCTGTGCAGCCTAAATTGCTGTTACAAATACATCGCCTTAAACAACTTCTTTATCATTAGTATTCCATTTTAGAACACGAGCGTCTGTTTGAGGTCTGGTGAATGTGAAAAATCAAAGACTGAACTGCAGGAAGAAGTTTTCACGTGTGCCAAAGTTATTATTATTATTAAGGACCTTTTCAAACGCTACCTATTGTGTTGAGCACAGTGACAACTTCCTCCAATCTCCTTCTTGACACCTCACATACCAACTACACATACGTCCAACCTCCTCTGTTCAACATCTGTCCTTTAAGATGTGGCCATGTCTGACAGGAGACATTAGCAGTGGTGCAGATGTAGCTTTTCCTGTAAGACATGGATTTCTGAAAGAGCATTAGTGGCACAAAAAAAGAAAGAAAGAGTGATATCTTGTGTGATGATGCCAGGAGTTCAAATCTGCACCACTTAAAGGTGAGTTGGCATAAATTTGGGTTAACAACACAAAACTAAATCAGAGGGCGGGAAAAAGAGAAAAAAATAAATGTTCCAATAGGACATTTGGCCAATTCATACATATAACTGGACAACTGTATTGAAATTTGTCACATAAAGACTTCATTGTGTGGCCATCGATGTGCTGATCCATGCACTAACTTCCACTGTTGTTTTTCAGCACAGCACCAAAAGACAATCTACTGGTGACATGAATGCCACAGGCATTTAATGGCATATTCATCTATGGATACTGAATGACAATACTACCATTATTTTAACCCAGACGTGGGCAAACCTTTTGAGTGGCGGGCCACAACTGTCCTAACGTTGAACTGGGTCAGGAGCAGAGAGATAAAGAGTTCATGTGAACTAAGGTGACAGTCAGGTGAAAGTCATGCATGAAAGCTAAAATGCTTTCGTCATTTTCTACACCATCTATTGGGGAAAAGTGGGTATTGCAGGGAAAAGGTAAACATAATGATAATATAAATAAATTATATAATTTGGAAACGTTTGGCAGCCAGATTAAAAGGCTGAACAGGCCACCTCTGGCTCCTGGCCCTTAGTTTGCCCATGCCTGATTTAACCTAATGAGATCAGCTGAATTATTTTCTTAAATTTAACCCTTTAACAACCGATGTTAGTGTGCAGCCCTTTCCTTCAATGACTTACACCTGGAATAACCGAGGGTGTGAGCCAACGCTAACACACACTTGCATGCACACACACACATTCATATACACACACACACACAATGAGGTCAAAGTTGGATTTGGCGAAATAGAAATTATCAGAACAGTCAAACAATGATACTACATTTACAATACTAGTGGTTTTTCAGTTCACCGCCAATCAAGAACGAGGGTCCTTATTTTGAATGATGTTTTGGGCCATTCACCCACTGTGTGCCAGGGTCTTTAGGTGCCTTTGCCAAAGGACATGTTGTGTCTCTGACTGTGCTGACAGTCAAACCCAGAGTTGGCTGAA